GATTGTGTTCCCCTGGAGTGGGTCTCGGACGCCACGTGCAGCTCAGCCCAGAATACGCGTTAGAATATGTTTTCTATTTTCGAACAGCGTTGATACCTACCACTGAAATGACGTGTGCGACAGTGATATCATCAGCAAAACGTATGGCCAGTTTGCTGTACGAATGAGAAGTACTCACTCGGTGGCATTATTTTTCTGAGCTTTATATCATTGCGTGCTGGCTTCTTGCGTATGCCGGCCGATACCACTAACTACGTCTATCTAGTTATTGATTATGTGCCACGTAACATCAGTACCTTTATGCTACTCGTTTTTTACTGGTGCTTCTTGCGGCTCCCCTCGGCGATTACAGTGGCTGGCCGAAATTTTCTGTTAATACTCACGCGAAGCTGATGCGACTCAAGCGAAAGGGGTGGCGGTTGAGGGGGAGACGGATAGAGAGGTGAAGCAGATAGTGACAGGTATGCTGAGGTTGCTGTACTTCAGCGACAGCTAGCCACAAGCATGCGGACCGCTTTCCTCTATTTGTTGCCTAAATTCGCCGTCCAACTGAGCGGAACTTGCCCCGGTCAAAGAAGAACACAATCGACATGGTGGCGTCCCCTTGTGGGCATTTTCCGCTTCTGGTGTCGTTCTGTTTTTGCAGCGTCTCGACATCCATCTCCACCTTAAAAGAGCTGTGGAGCTGGACCGCATCGGACGTGGCGGCAGAGTGTAATCGTTCAAATTATACATGAGATGAATAGAATTGCAGGAATAAATAGGAGAATTGATAGATGAACGAGCGTGCCCCGTCAACTTTTGTACCTCTCTAATGGTTGGTTGCGAATGATAGATAGTGATTTTTCTAAAGCCTTAAGACGTCCTGTCTTTTTAGCGATGGGTGATTCATAAATCAAAGATTTGCACATAACTCGATTGATACCTTTGTGCGTTAGCAAGCACATTAAAAGCTATCAGACTCCCCGAAAATGTCTATTAATCGTTTTCTATTGGTAACAAAATTTGTAATCAGTCGTCAGAAATCGTCGTTGATTCCTATATAACGAAATAGAAATATTCTCTTTATAAGGTAAGTTAGCAAACTTACTCGAAGACGTTTCTCTCAAATTTTGCGTCATTCTACTTTGCTAGCGGCTATTTAGTCGCCAATGGAGTGGTCTTTACGTATTTGGTTTGACGGAATGCGAAGCTGCCGCACTGAGGTTCGTTCTCCCTTAACTTCTCAATCTATTGCAAACACCGATTTCAAATTACTTTTACATCTGGAATTGTTTTAATATTGCATTATGTTTAGCGTTGATCTGCCGGAGCGCGATCACGATCTATCCTATTCGACCGTGTTGATGGCCTATCGTAGATGGTAGACTAGCGCATTGTCACTGCTCAGAAGATATGGACTAATAATTAGATAATCACGTATATAGTTAACTAAGTAAGTATTAGAGTATTTCAGGCTTCATCCAACCGCAATACCAGTTTGTTGACCGTAACGTTGGCTTTCATTGGGTCTTGCCACTGTCTAACTTTGCGAGAACAGTATTTACCCACAGAGTATAAAAATACGCTACTCTTGTGTTCTTGCCGCTTACCTTTTGCTAATCGACAGATCCCTTGGGGTGGTTTACGATTCGTTATATTGAAAACGTTGGCTTTGTCTTGAGGCACAGCGCAAGCCAGCCACCTAAACCCATTCAGTTTTTTTTTATATATCATCAGTGGGCTCCATTTTAAGTCTGCAAACTCGTTTGCCCTGTCCAATATGTAACATAGGCACCGAAGTGGGGTTCGGCCCTTATTCGCTTCAGAAACTTTGTTTTATCAAAGCTATTTGCTATTCGTACTCTCCTTCCACGTTATCTGGATGTTCTCTCGACTGAACAGACATAGATGTGTATATCTTCCTTTGCACGCGCAGTAATACCGGTTGTAAGTGTTTAACTTTCAGTCGTTTTTAATAAACATGTACGAACTTTTGTGTCTGCGCGCGTTGGCTCGCCAGTAACAAAGCTTCCGGTTAGTCTCGTTTAGAAGCAGATTGGTGGCTACTCAGCAAAGGGTTGCCTGAAGACCTCTGTTCTATGTAACTGCGCGCTTTTTGGCTAACCTCTATCAACTTGAAGTCGTGATAACCTTTCTCGCTTTTCCAATTATCGTCATTCAACTGTAGTTCCGTTAAGTGCCCATAGTAGCCACCGCGGCTTTGATCATACAGAACAACAGCTCTTCTCTGATGGCTTCACACAGTGAAATATACCACTTCAAATATAGGCATATATGTGCTGACAGAATCACACGCTAACGTCGTTTGGCTTTGTTAGGTATTTTGCCGCACTGGAAAATTGGAGCGGCCTGCTTCTCCAGAGTCGCTCTCGATACTAGCTAAAACACGACTGGGTTCTAAGTGCGCACGTCCCTTGCTTGCGTTTTTGCTTTTACCCACCCGCAGTGATTTATTGGGCAGGTGTGAGTCATGATGTAACGGGTTCTACGCTGCATTCTGCGGGGGTGGGAGGGGGGAGGAGGCTGGTTAATGAATGAAGAGTTTGCGTGAGCATACCTAGTGGGCGTAGGAGAACTTATGTAGACTGCAACTTTTTTCGCTCTTTTACTTTTCTTCTTTCCATTCGCTTCGTCCCCGCATAGCTGGCACCTCCCTTATCAAAAGGGATGGTAGTGGCATTATGATGCCGTAAACGTAATGTGGTACGGAGTGTGGGTGGAGCGTAACAGTGGTGTAATACACGACCTTGTATGCAATAGTCACCAAAAACTTAGCGCCTACCCCCCGATTGGGAGTCTGCCGCTGGTAAGATGTTTGTCTCCTGCGTTGTTGACGCAGTGTGTGTCTGTCTATCAGCGGTCTATCTGCCACGGCTAATTACGGCAACCAATCGCAACGCCAAAGGAAGTGGCCAGAAAATAAACAGAAGACTCTCAGCAACAGAGCTTCTACCAGTGCAACTATAATGTCTTGCAGCTGTATCTACACACCCGCGTCCCCCCTTGTCCCCAGCGCCGCTACATGATCGCCAAGCGGTGAAAGTACAACAAGATGCATCTTCGGATATTGCAGCGGTGGCAGGCACTGAAATAGTCGCTTTCGTGCGTCTCAACACGGCCGTATCTCATACTGCCCGATACGCACATACATGCCTGTAGGTAGTTACAGACTCGCTTGTGATGTAGTGATTGTTGCAATTATACAGCCATCTGATTCGGCCGCTCGTTTATTAGCGGGCGCGCACATTTGTAGTGCTGATATTAACCAAAAAGTACCCAGTTGCAAAAGGCTTCGCTACCCTTTATTTTCTGCGTTTATAAACACGCCGTTGCGACGGACTTCCCTCTTCCGCCCCTTGATTTTTGAGTCTGAAAAGCCGCCGTTAGATTTCACCTGTGTTCGGCTGTGAGTGGATCATCATGAATGTCGTCGTCTTATATCACAAAAAATCATTTGACGGGCCGCGCTCGCGTGTTTGTGTGTTGTGATCGTTGTGTAATCGTTCACCGAAACGTTCTGCCAATAGCCCTTATTGGTCGACAACTCTTGTCGCGGTGACACTCGTCAGCGCCGTTGTTAAGGCCGATACATCAACAGTAATAGCATCTGCATATCTTCCTTGGTCAGAAAAGGACGGCCTCCTCTGACGCGCTCGCGGAAGATCAATTCAATCGCTTGGGATGAACGAGGGGGTCTATCTAGTGGCCGTAACGTGCAGGAATAATAATCATAATAATAGTAATCATGTAGCAAAGTAGTACGCAAAGCACGTTTGTGCAGGGGGTGCTGCGAGGTAAGCGACTGGTAGCGACGATCTTCTGTATTATCTTACCATTCTACTATCCCGGTTGAGTCGGCCCATCTTTCCTTGGATTGTCGGGAAGATGAGAGGTTAGCTATTTGCCGGCTTTCTTGTCTGCTTCAGAGACGCCAAGAACAACGTCGCCAGATGCGACAAAAGCTGATAGACAAAGTATGCCAATTGTCGTGAACGATCTTAGAACTATCGTAAGTGATGGTGTTTGACGACATCTCTCAATATTACAAAGTGGTCACAAACCCCCTTATGTATAATATTATGCTCAATAACCTGACGAGCGGTATGTGATGCGTAAATTCTTTTGTGCGCTAATTCAGTGCATTGACATGATCTAGGTATGGTAAAACAAAGAACCAATCGAGATGTATTGACGATTGTATTCTTCGAACATGTAGCTAACTGAAATCGTAACTTCTCCAGAGGGCAGAATCTTGCAAGGTAATTACGCCCCCTATTGATGACCTGCCAACATGCCTTAACACGTTAAGTTAGTTGGTGTCCGCTGAAACAGTTCGATCAAGTGGATCCGAATCGAGTCTTATCATCGAAGAGATCTCTAGGCGACAGTCAATACCAGTATCAGTCTTTTTCGCAGCCAGAGTCGATCTTCAGAGTCATCGTAGGGTTATTATCGACTCTAAAAACGGCGCCAAGGATATTAGTCAAAACGATAGAAAAACAAAGTACTATACTTTCGGGTTAGTTAAACCGGCTCCGGAATTAACTTGCATCTCAAACCCGTCAAAATTTATCACTCAAAGAACGATAAGTCCAACTTAAAGGCCGCATAGCCCTTTTATTAAAACGTAATTTTAGCTATGTAGAATTATTTCCCAGCTGACTTTTGCTAGCGTATGTTTTTTTTTCGATGATTTTAATGAACTACGAATGAGCTCGGGAAAAAAACAACGTTGTTGTATCAGAACCTAATTGAAATCTAGGTTTGTTATTTTCCCTACGCGATTCGGACGTGTTTTGTCGTTGTTGGTTTTCTGTCAAGGGGAAGCTTCCTTATTTTGTATATAAATACAATAAATATTTATCTAAATGTTTGTTGCCAATTCTCTTTCACCAGTGCCATTTTACTTAGTATAGTTAATGATAATTAACTCTTTAATAGATCTAACGTTCGCTGTGTATACCCGTTCTTTTTTACCTTTGTATTTTTTCCTTTAGTGCAGCGCAAGTGACGAGTAATCTGTAGTCGGGCGGTGGACTTCGATGGCCATGGGCCGTCTTCGTGTCCGTGTATTCCTCGTCGGATTAGGGCTGGCAGTCCAAGCCTCAGCCTACGTTCGTAAGTATAAAGTTTCAGTCATACTTATTAGTTAACACAGCAACTTACGCTTACTAACACTCACCGACTAACAACTTAGCGGGAGAAAGAAGCATCCGCAAAGTTCGTATTGTCAATAGTTACGTCCGGCCACTGTTAATCAGACCAACACTCCAACAGTCAAGATCTGTACATTGCACGACGGCGCAAATTTAAAGGAAGCATATTACATACATATTATCTTTTTTTTTTTGTTTCAATGCGCCTTTGCTACTACGAAATTCAATCCTGAACCAGATCTATGTCTCACGAGATGATGATGATGATGATGAAAAAAGTAAAGCTAGCATCGAAGGTGGCTTCGTAATTATTAAATCATCGGAAGATACGTTTAATTTTACAAAAGCAGTAATAATATAACGTAACAATATATGGCACGTTGTCAGGGTGAGACTCAGCAGTACAAGCTAGCGGTAAATTTGCGCAGGCAGAAGCTGATCTTGTATGCATTTGAGAAGCCGTGGACTTAGCGCGTCACTGCAATGAGCACTTTCGATCTGTACATACTCATTCTATAACAGAAACAATTTTAGATCGGTACTCGTAAAAATAAGGAAAACTGAATAACTTAATAGCATCAACTTAATGAAGTTAGCTATTGTCCTTCACTACGAAGTTACTGTGTTGTTAACATATGCTTGCACGTAGCGTCGAGTGTGGTGCTGGATATCTTCTATATATCGCATTCGATCTGTCGATAAATAACAAAGGCGTGTTTTTGAGGTCGACCCTAACCTAGTATATTCATTCACTAGTTAACTGATCTGAATAAAAATATATGTAATTTCCATTGTTACATTGTTATTTAGCTGGGTGTAGCCAACGAACGTGTGAGCATTTCATGCACTGTTTCTAAGGATCTACGTACGGAACAATTGATTTAAAAGTGTCTTCAGGTAGTTCCGCTAAGCGAAATTAAAGACAAATACTGTAGATGGCGCAAACGATGTACTTCTAATGAAATCGAGAACATTGCGCATGCAAAAAATTTCAGTGGACACTCTTCATATAAAAATAGTGAACGGCATGTCTAGATAAAGGAACACAATGTTTAACTTACGATGGACAGTCGTCATCAGACCAAAGGCTGACATTTGCGCTAACATAAAAAATAAATATTAGGGACCTGCTTTCTCTCCTAAATTTGTTTTGGGCATTATTCGTGTATGGATTATGCCTGACAACAGACATGCTAAAGCGTCCGGGTCCATCCAGGCGGACAAAGTGCAGTGGTTTTCGAATATCAACACATATATATATATACATAAGGTGTATCTCTATGAAAATCGGTCTCTAAAATTAACGTTTTAAGTTAAATGCCCATTAAATGTTGCTCCAGAGAATACTGAATTCGAAATGGTCCGTACGCCGTTGTTAGCTTCGTGTTGACTTCATGTCATAGATAGCCGGTATACGTACAGCGTAATATTATAGAAACTATTATTACAGTTCTACATCAATGCATGATGCAAGTAGTAACTGATAGGACTTTATGTAGCATATTAATTTGCTATGGGGAGGTCGCGCTGAATAGCTTGGTTTGTTGTATGTGTAGTTGTGGGCGCAGGGTATGCTGGGGCTATTGGAAATTTGCCTTATGTGTTGTCCATCGTGCTGTATGTTGCTATACCGCATATTTATCTGTTCGGCATGCACGTAGTTGTGTTCTTTGTGAAGCAAAACCGTCTGTCTGCTCTATTTGTGGTTGGTGACCTGTCTGGCTGCTCAGTTGTGTCGCCCGTAAACGGACAAGTCATTCGGTGCTGGCTAAAATCCTTCAGGCAGTCCGCACTCATTGGATTATTTTCCGCAGAAACCACTTCGAGAAGCGGCCCTTTCGGTACTCTCATTGCCGTCGACGGAGCTCGGCTAAAGTTCCAGAAGCAGCTGACTGAAACACAAGAGGAATCTAAAAAAGTGTACAATGAGTTCAGAGACTCCAGCAGAGACTTATTAGTCGGATCAGGATATGACCCATCGACCGGAGTTTACGTGCACGATTATGGAGAGCAGGGAATCCGAGCGTTAGGCGATAGCCTCGTCATTACCGATTCATCCTATCCTATCGGTTTTCAACATCAGGAATACCATGCTACTGGACATCAAGGTGGCCATAGCCAGAGGACTTATGAAGGTCATAGAGACCGCGGAAGCAGCCATGAGGCCCATAGTAGCCACGTAGATTTTTCCGTTGCTAGTGGCCTCGACGCGCATGGCCATCAGGAACACGACACTCTAAAAGGCCATCAACAAAAGGATGGGCATTATTATGTGCATTATGAACGTGGACAACAAGATGAGCATGGTCCCGTAGATGACGAAGTTCCATCGGCGGGATTGCCTTCGCGTCACGGTGTATATTATCTCTCGGCTCGGCAGAAAAATACTATTCCTCAGGAGCGGGCTTCAGGACATTCACGCCACAACAACCACGGTCCTCAGCAGTTTTTCCATCGTGGCAGCTCCCGAATTCCTGCAGCTTCGCGTACGGGCGACTTGCAGTGCCCTAGGGAAGGTCTCTACCGCCATCCAGGTGATTGCTCAAAGTTCTATCGTTGTGTTAATGGTGGCGACCTTTATCTCGAGCCTGTCATGTTTGCTTGTGCTACAGGCTTAGCATTCGATGAATCATTAGCAGCTTGTACGTGGCCAGAAAACGTTCCAGGCTGCCCGAATTTCTCAGGACTCCCGAGTGACAACTTCCCTGCCATTAACCGTCACCTTGAGGCAACCCAGAACTTTTTCCAACACACTCGTCCGATAACGCCACAACCTTCAGCACGACCGATGACAGAATCACCGCGGCCTACAGAAGCACGTATTTCATCCCCTGTAGATGTTGCAAATAGAAATCCTGCTAACTTTGTTGTTGATACGGAGGAAGAGCCTCGCTGTGTCCGAGATGGACTGATCCCTACATTGCCATGCGCAAAGCGCTTCTATCGCTGTGAGAGCCTTTCAAAGGGAAGATTCAGATTGCACAAGTATAGATGTCACGAAGGCATGATCTTCGATCAAGCAATTCCCGGCTGCATTGAGGTTGTCCATTATCCAGAGTGCCAAAACCGTATTCAACTCGCAAACACGACCTCCGCCACTTTCGTCACTCCGAGGCCCACTCCCACAACGACAGTGGCAACAGCTTCGTCCGTCGAGCATACCCTAATAGTTAACGGCTCCTCTTTAGGTGTCGTTGATCCCTCCCTAGTGATTCCGGCGAAACGAGTGATGAAAAATTGCGGTGCCGAGTTCGACGGAGATCGTTGTACGCCCTTCTACAAGTGCACGGATAGTACCCGGCGTGGCAGAGCGTTCCGGTTTGAATGTCCTCAGAACTTAGTGTTTAATCCACGTACAGAGGAATGTGCTTATCCATCAGAAGTAGATGAGTGTGAAGCCTTTATTTTGGATCATCCCTCCGATGTTGGAAGCCTACAAGGTGGCAAGATGTTTGAAATTTCAGAATCAAACGTTATATATTTTCCTTGTTCACGCCCAGGTTTCTACAAGGATGTGAACAATTGCTCGCAATTCATCAGATGTTTCCCGACAAGTAATGACTCGCTTGTTCTAAGAGCTGCCCGTTTCGATTGTCCTCGGGGGTTAGTGTTCGATGAAGTCGCAGGAGCTTGTGAGCACGCTGCTCTTGTTCCCAGCTGTGGCGCTGCTATTCTTGAACATTCCAATGATATACTGACTATGAAATGCGAATTCGATCCCATTTACCAAGACCTTTGTACACCGTTTTATCGCTGCATAGATGACAGTCAGCGTGTAATGCGGTTCTCTTGTCCCAAGAACCTTGTATATGATATCAAAAATCAGCAATGTAACTATCCAAACAATGTCTTCGAATGCCGTAATCCATTACCATCTAAACGAGATGCAGCTCTCGCAAGCAAATCCTGCTCCGGCGACGGCTTCATCCGAAGCTCGGCGAATTGCTCACTGTTCTATCGTTGTACTAAAGTTAACAGCCACACAGAGGACTTTACGGCACATCTTTTCTCATGCCCGCCTGGACTGGTCTTCGATTACACTCTTGATGCTTGTAACTACGATTATCTTGTAAATGATTGTAACCATATGAAGGAAGCGAAGAGGACAGCAACGATAATTCCAGCGCAGGATGCTCCTACTAGGCTACATAGAGTACCGGCTTCACCCACGGCCAGTGTGTCTTTTGAACAGCGCGATAATTTTGACACGAGGGTATCGTTTGCGTCTGTAGACAGTGGTGGCAGCTTTTCATTTGCCCCAGGCACAGACAGATCACCACTGACTAGCCGACCCGTTACTGGAATGGAGGAAACGCGACGAAGACCTGCTCAGTCGACCTTTGCACCTCGTATTCCCAGTGACGGCGATCAGTCATCATCAGGAGGATTTGTATTTCGCCCTGGTTCAAGTGCGGCTAGTACTGGAAATCCCGGTAATATAGTAATGGGACCGGCATCAATTCCTGGTGCCTCTCAGATATCTGAAGATACCTATCCATGTGTAGTAGAAGGTTTTTTCCGAGATACTGATAGCTGCCATGTATTCCATCGCTGTGTGCGAACTGAGGATCCAAGGCGGCCTTTTGTGGCTCACATGTTTAAGTGTAGGGAAGGCCTTGTTTTCGATGATGTCCTCAAGGGCTGCAACTACGAAGATATGGTTCCAGAGTGTAGCCAACGTGAAGTATTTGAGACGCGACCTTTCAAGCAAACAATGCCAGCCCTCACTACAAAGCATTCTTCTGAAGTCACGGAGCGCGTTGGTTTTCGTCGTACAACACCCATACCTCAAGCTTCTAAGGTGACCTTTGCATGGAGACCAGGCACGGTGACATCTCCTCCTTCAATGATTGGATCTTTACCTGAGCGGCGTATGCGACCCAGTACTTGGTGGCCGCATACTACCCCAGAATCAAAAGATCCTCAGGTTTCAGATATCGATGCACCTTTGCCAGCGCCTCCGAAAAGACCAACTGTAATTAATTCCTCCAATACAGTAGGTTTCAGTTTCAAGGATACCAGGCGTCCAACGCGACCTGCTCCGCATTCTGCGCAACCTGTGTCTTCAGACGAATCTTTACTTTCTCCTAGACCCCTCCCACTAGCTCAACCAACACGTCCTTCTGCACAACAAGATTCTATTTCGACTCCTGCTCAGCATCATATGGAGGTTGTACCCTCAAAACCTTTAGCTCCACCTATACGCTTCTCTTTTGCACAACAAGACTTCATCCCTCAAAGGCATCCAGCCTCGCTTCGACCTCCGGTTCCGGGGCAACCTGCTCATACGCCTTTTTCTCCACCTAGGCAGCAAAATGACAATCCTGAGAGGGCCTCTGAAAACAGAGAATTCGTCGTAGCTGAGACAGACGTTATTGTCGAAAATCGAATTGATCATGATATTAGCAATGACGAAAGCGAGTTTCCCATTAGTTTCAAGTGTAACCCCGAGGTCTTCTACAGGAAGTCTACGCGATTCTGCACGCCATTCTATCGTTGCACGAGAACAGTTGTTGTAACGGCGGGTAACAAACGGCGAGAAATAACTGATACATATCGTTATGCCTGTCCCAAGGGTTTTGTGTTCGATCGAGAACTTAAAACCTGCGACTATCCAAGCATTGTGCCTGATTGTGAAAATCTCGACCCCAAGGAGATCCTCCCTGCGCCGGCCATCGGCTCGAAATCCTCTGTACCTTGCACACGCGAAGGTTATTTCGGACATTCTAGCCAATGCAACAAATACTATCGTTGTGTACAGGTGACCCGACAACGTTTCTTCACGTACGAATACGAATGTCCACGTGGGTTCGTATTTAATCCTGACACAGATAATTGCGACTATCCTGACCGCGTTCGTGACTCCTGTGGAGTCTCAGTAATCGCTGCGAGTCCATCTTGCTCTGGTGGCATCGATTACGAACGTTCAAAAACCGACTGTTTTCAATTCTATCGGTGCACCCATATACCAGAAAATTATCCACAACAACCGATTCCCTTAGCATGTCCTGGAGAATTGGTGCTGGTCGGTAACTCATGCCAATGGCCTGACCGACGAGATTCCTGCTACCGAGAGGATCATCACCGCCGTAGACGGCTTTTGAATGATACTCTAAATAATGCTACAAGTACGGAATAAATTACACAATTGAAGCTTTCATCGGTTAATTGTATAACATGAGATAATACAATTAGTAGAAACATTTCATTTATTTTATTGATTTATTTTAGCTTCTGTAAGCTACTAGTACTTGAGGACAACATTGATTCATCTTAAGCACAACTCCTATCTGGTGTGGAAGGGCTGTATTGTGGGTCGAATACAAACAAATGCATATTACTTATATTTAATGGACTGTGCAATACTCAGACGAGTGAGATCTAAAATGCTTATCCAGCGATAGGAACACTTCATCTATGCATTTTTATGATACACATATTCATCTGAGCTTTTAATACAAAAGAGACTGACATAGCAGTAACACGATGTAAAGTATTTATGTGTGTATGTGTATGCGTGTCAGGTGCAGGTATTTCTGCAGTAAAAACAACAAGCCAATAATAAAACGTAATGTGTAAATCGCAAACGGTTTCTTTTCCTCTGGACGGCGGGGAGCGGGGGGATACTGCATGTGTTGATGGATCCTAAACCTGATTGATCTCTCCATACGCGTTCGAGTCGTCTTTCAATTGGCGTCTCATTGATCTGCAGGCACCGAATTTGTCAGCCAGTCGGGCTGACCTCTCATGATAAAACCTTGAGATCAGAGTAAATGCCGACGTCTGGTAGACAACTTGTGTGGATTGAGTTCGCTTCCGTCCGATGTCAATTGGACATACGTAGATCGAAAACGGACACCGTTGTCAAGCGTTCATTATCAGTTGCCATTCATGCATAGTAAAGTAGAAAAATCGAATTTTCTAGAATAATTATTTATGGCGTAGGCATTTTATTCGTGCAGGGCAATTACAGTGTTAGTTTACACGTAGGGGACCGCTAAACTGCCTTCATGTGATGAGATACCGTGAAAGCTAGAAAGTTTCAATGATTTACTTTTGAAAATGGTTCTTTAATCAGCGCTTTAAATATCCTCTGTAAGAGTTAGTCCGTACCTTTGTCAAGCGGATCAGTTGGTCGGCCAAGCGTATGGCCTGCAAGGAACTGTAGATTACAGGTGAAAAGGTATATTGCTTGAACAGAAGTATATCTAGCGGTGATATGTAATCGGCTATATTGAGTATATAAGCACAAGTTCAAATTAAGTACACCTTGATACTTTTTTTTTTTATTATGGATTGCAAAACTATTTAGAACAGATAGACGCACGGCCACTAGTTCTATTTGGCGAACAGTTATTTCTAATTAAGGTGCAGGCATAGTAGATTGCGCTAAAAACTAGTGGAACAAACGTTCTGCATAAAAAATCCTGTTATTTTAAACGATAACATATATATATCCTTTGTGTATTTTGCTAGACTTCTATCATACCCGCCTAATTTGATGTCGTTTTTTAAACACAGATATTAGGGGTAATTTCGAACTCGTGAACTCTCTAAGGCAAATTACTTTTTATTTTGAAGTTACTTCGGAAGCTTGTACACGCCATGGCTCAAACTTGTTCGTCACTTCAGTCGACGAGTTTCACCAAAATGCAAAAAAAAAACTTGTCCAATTTTAAATAACAAAGCGCAAGATTTTAGAAAACTATTTGGAAATGGAACATTTATGTCTTTATTTTTAGTTTTGAACTACTACATGAGATGAAAAAGCTCTTACGTGTCAAAAAATTTGATCTGCAAATTTTCATTAAAAAAAAATAAATAAAATACAATTTGTATATAACTTAAGTAAAGTAGAATTGTTATGAATTGATTCTTTATTGAGTGTTTTTTTTTAGATTTTATTTTTTCACTAGAGATTTTTCTATAAAACTTCAGCGAGAATTATAGTGGTCTGTAAAATTGCATGATTTTTTTTTATAAAACGTTCTTATTATATATATATTAGTTATTTCAGTATATGCACAAGATTAACACTAAACAACACAAAAATGTTTCAAGTTGCGGTATTAACATTTAGCTAACTCATAGGCATCGATTAATTATGTCGACCATAACAACACAAATTATGTGGACAAACAACACGAAAAAATACCTCCAGTAACAAAGATACCAATATCATACCAATTTGATTATCGGTATTACCTTACTATGTTAACATGTAGGCCTTTTTTGGTTCTTTATTTTAACCACTTCCCAACAACAAAAGCAACAATAAAAAAACTCGATCGATGGCTTGAATGATGAGCACAAAATGAAATGTTAATGGTGTCGGTGTATCACTAACGGCACACATTGCTTTTATTCACACTGTAGCTTGCGTACTGCATCGCTCACTAACCCACCTGGGCTGTTATTTCTGTCGCTTTTTTCTACCTTTTACTTTCCTTTATATGCTTCGCATATAAAATACTATAAAGACGTCAACCAGGGCGCGGTTTGCCGGACTGAGGGGGTGTTCAGGGACTCCGATGATTGCGCGCGCTTCGTGCGCTGCGTAAGATTACCCCACAAACCGCACATATTCTCTGTATACAAGTATTCCTGCCCGCGCGGAACTGTCTACAGTATGGTGACGGGGGGCGGTTGTCGCAAGCCGCCTCCGAGTGATCCTTGCTATAATTACGCGTCAACCACATCGATATCATTTCCCCAAAGGGGTATGACCAGCCATGTTGCTACCCAGCATCAGTTCCCGTGCGCTAACCCGGGCTATCAATCTCATCCAACCATCTGCGATAAGTAAGTATCACATTTGCCGCGAATGAGTATTTTTCTTTAATAGAGTTATAACATATTTCAATAGAGGTAATAACCAAACAGTCTAATGTACGTACTCGTAAGTACTACAGAGCTGAACTTCACCGATAGACATCTTCGGGGGAATTGTTAAGATTCCTGTTCACGTCGTACGTGAATCTAGCCAGCACGATTTGTATGCATCGATGTGATCATCGTCCATTCGAAAATAAAAACTTTAGCAAAAAAATTACGAGAAAAAAAGATGTACTGACTCATTTAGAGCAGGGCAGGAATTATTATAGGCCAGACATAAAAACTATATGCATTAGCTTACCCCATATTCCTAACGTGCATCTTACCCCTACTCTGTCAGGTACTATCATTGTCAAGATGTTGATGGCACTGGCCGCACGTTCCGCCAGACTCATTTTTCCTGCCGCAAGGGCCTGATGTTCGACGCATCTACCATCACCTGCAATATTCCTAGTCTTTCGCGTTCTCCGTGCATCAGCCGCCTTTCAAGCGCAGCTTCCCCTTCCTCAAGCAGCTCGTCACCATCCACTACAGCGTTAAGTTCTTCACCGGTTGTTACGTCAAAAAAATCTTCCTCAAACAGCCGTTCAACGCATACCCCAAGTATGAACTCGATCGTCAGCGACTCGTTTATCAAGCAGGGGCCACAGCAGCAGGAACAAGCGCAACAGCATCAACAGCAAGTAAATTATCATCAGCACCAACATAGTCATCAACATCACGAACAGCAGCAAAAACAACACAATGTAAAGTCTGTAAACGTTGCAGCGTCAGGACTGGCGTGTAGCAGCGAAGGAGCCTTTGCGGTTCCAAACAATTGCTCGCGGTTCTACCGATGCATACGAGACAGTTTTGGAGGCCTTAGCTCCTACGTGTTTGCCTGCCCTGAGGCTTTGGTTTGGGACTCGAACCAAGGAGCATGTAAAACTCCTTCATACGTACCTGTTCCATGCGGCACTCTGAGGCAGCAGGAGGTGAACACGATTTCACCATCGAATATTGCTGTTTCGCCAATAAATGCTCAGCAAGCCACGCTGACTCCAACTCAGCATAGATCATACGACGTGGTATTATCATCGCCTTATTCACGTCAGTCGCTTCCCCCTAGCGAAATCAAAGGACAAGGTATTGAGTCAGTCACCCTACATGGAAATGACACAGACGCTGCTCCTTTCTTTTGCCCTCGCAATGGATATTTCCGAAACCCCAACAACTGTCACAGTTTCTACCAGTGTTCATTCGTAAACGAATCTCGTACATACCAGATTACGCATTTATATTGTCCGGACAAGCAAGTGTTTGATGAGAGCATTAATGGCTGCGATTGGTCCAGTAAAGCCGCACCTTGCGACAAAAATCACACTGTTATTTTAGCTAAAGCAGGAACAGGGCCGGCCACCTCAGGAGTGAACCAAAGTACTGAGCAAAATGAACGGACCCAGGTTAATAACATAACTGTAAGCAGTCATGAATCAAATCAGAGTAGTCAAGGAAATGTTACACATATTGGCCATCAAAATTCGACTCACGGAAGCCAAAAGGTATTAAGTCAACAAGGATCAGGCCTTATGGTAAACGGAAACAATCAGCGTGCTGCAAATGAAAATATAATGCAAAACAATCAGCTGGCCACCGATCAGCATATAAGACAGGGCACTCAGCGCGGATTGAATCAAGGTGAAAGCCAAAAACACCAGCACGGTTGGAACCTAGTAGCCAGACAGGATAACGCATCAGACCCGAAGCAGATAGATACAAGCCTGGTATATACCCAAACAAAACCCCAAAGCCGAGGGATAAGTCAGAAGGAATCGGATCAAGGCATGACCAGAGTTACGAATCAAAAACAATGGAACCAAAACACAACGCGCAAATCAAATGAGATTTTTTCCAGTCAGGCTGCTCAGCAGGCAAAATGGCTGCACACGTCTAGCCAAAAGAAAACTCACAACAACAGCCAACAAACCTATAATCAAATACTTGGTGGGCATACATCGAGCGGGCAATCGATCACAACAAATTTACAGTTAGCGAGCTCCAACAACTCCACCAATCGACAGCTTAAAAATCAGGCCTGGAATCAGCAAGTTGCAAGGATAACTACTAATAGAATCGAAAGCGATCAAGCTAATAGCCAGCAAACACCATCACTGGGTTCGCAAAGTTCCCATCGAACCTCATCGTACCACGACTCAGGATCGGCGTCCTCTTTACTGAATTCCAACTCGTCAGGGAGCAGTAGTATTAGCTCAAATAGTTCAGTCTATTCGTCTCCCACTAGGCTTGTTTCGTCAACCATCCAACATGCTCCTTCATCCAAAGGTAACATCATCCTATACCTAAAGCGTGATAATTACTTGATTACCTGCTAGCAGTATTATTTTTTTGGAATGTAGAAGTAACAGAATCGAGATTACAAAACAGGATTATTTGAGTTTTAAAAGCGAATCTCAATTCCTAGTGAAATCTAGAAGGTAATATATATATATTTCAGGAAACATGACCATTGAACATCCTGGTAGCCCAACGCAACCAATAAACAGGCCCGAAGTGATCGCTGTCAGCCTACGTCCGGTGGTTTCTCATGAACACTTACAACCAGTGTTAATTCCAAATCTTCGATTAGATAGTACAAACACTTCATTAACAAAAATAGCGGATACAGTAACGACAAAATTACAAACTACGACGACGGAAGTAGACACCACAAACTTCGGTTTAACACCTGCCGAAATAGCAGTTACGAGCTATACGACGGAATCAGACGTTTTAGCTGCAACACCTATAACAAGTGCATCGTCTATAACGAGTAGCGAATCGGACATTACAGGAACAACCCAAGAGGCGCCAACTGATCGACAAACTGCAATTAACGTTACGCAAACGAAGATTGAGTTTACAAGCCAGGCACCCGAAACATACCGCTCTATAACAGAAGCCCATACTACTACTACGAGTAGGTTACTTCTTGCAACAAAAGCGTATGTTCCAGTTGCAATCCCTGCGACAAAAATGGAGCCTCCACTTATTGCGGGTGTAAACGAAACGGAGGATTACACAGCGTCTCCTTATGTGCCTGGCACCAACGTTCCAGCAATAACTTATTCAGTACGACCCCACACTTTGACTCAAGTGTCCTTCACTGAGTCCGATACACCGGCCACAGTGCACACGACGGAATCGGAGCAGACGATCACAACAGAAAGCCCAAACTTAAAATTAGCAGAAACACAATTTTCAAGTACAACAGATGAGCCCAAACTGGAGGCCCTTTCCACAACTCAGGGTATAGACACAACAACGACCCTTACTGTCGACACAACCCTTGTAACTGAACCAAAGGCTCATCAAGTAGGGGTTATAGCTAAAATGCATGCAACAAGAGTGGAGCTTGCTGCTACATCAACTGTGGCCACAACGAAGACTCCGATGACGGTAGGCCCAATAGAAAATAGGCCTAGAGCTCCTGTAACCACAACGGAGGCCCCATCGACAACTCGTTTACCTGAAATAAACGCTAGCGCTACGGCTCCCAGAGACGTTATACAAGCACCAGCTGTCACGTCTGACCCGAGAATCACTGTGATGGCACACGTTGCTAAGACGACAAAGGTTGAGAAACAAGTTGCATTCGTCTGTCATCAACGAGGCTCGTTTGCGTTTCCTGGAGACTGCCGAAAATACGTACGCTGCTCGCCTTGGGGATCTCAAGCGTTCCGTATGATCGTCTTGGACTGTCCTTCAGGCAGCGTTTACGACGACAAGCGAAAGGTCTGCGTTGGAGATAGAGAAAACAAATGCAAGCCTCTCTCGGTAACAACACCCGTGCCCACTGCCAATAAACTTCATGTAGCCATCGATTGGCCGTCTGGACAAAAAATCAATTCAATACAAGCAACGATGAACAGAAGCATTTCTTTGACAAAGAACCATGACGTGGCAGCAAATGGTTTGTCAAAGTCAGAAATTCCGGATACAGGGAATACTGCAGACCAGGACGTTATAATAACGATTGATAATGCAGAAATTGGGCCCGAAACGATAACTATGGAAGCTGTTGCGAACACCAGCGCTCTAGCAGCGACGCATGAGATTCAACGCCCTTTATATGTTAAACTAAAGACTGGAACAAACTCGACAGAAGCTTATCGCAAAACAGAAGCATCAACCCCAAACATCGTTAATGCAGCGGAAATGGCCAATGAGCGCACATCCTATGTACCTAAAATCAGAACTTTAGAAATTCCTAACGCAATGGTGTCTACTGCAAATACGGAGGTTGTAAAAAATGTTCCTGTAACTGATATAGAGGTATTGAACACAGAAGCCCAACAGAAACCATTGCTGGTTGCTACTATGGCTCAAACGATTGAAGTAGAAACTTCAATTCCAACTGAGCAAACTGAGACAGTTAAAACCTCAACTCACACAATAGCACCCGAGACTTCAGCGACAGCCGCTAAACCAAGCACTGAAAATTCATCTATAACGGAAACGGACTTTCCAGCCATCATTCACACTGCACAAATAGTAGCTACACCTATCAGCACTAAAGTCAATCAAATGACATCGGAAAAACATAGCTCAACAAGCCAAGAGCCCCTGGATGGTCGCCAGAATGTCGCCCAATACCAATCAATGGAAAGTTCGGCCATCACGTCTCTGTCGAGTGCATTAGAGAGTCTTCCTAGCAAGATAGCAGCTAAAGGTATCGCTTTCACTCTACCAAGCCATAGCCTGTCATCTGTTCCTGGTCAAGGAAAACAGCATCCGGTTTCCGAAGCGTCATACGAAGATCTACAGCTGGCGAACGAAGTTTCCATTTCCTCCGACGACGGCAGCGGCAGTGTCGATAGTCCAGTTTCAGCGCTTCAGATTAACACCGATCAACGAATCCGACAATGGACACCCGAACCGTTTATTGAGAGCGGTCGACCAGCTGAGTTTGTAACAGAGTTTCAGATGGAGTTCTGTACTGAGTGTCCCGAACAGATGATGACGGGAGTGCCTGAACAAAGCAATCTAATTTCCGCGCAGTCATCTCTTAACACTGATGCTTTAACTAACAAATCCACCCTTGGTCAAGGTACGGCTGTGCACCCACTAACCGTAGAGGGAGCGAGTATCTAAAAAGAGCATGGATCCTCATGATCAATCTTCTGTCACGTATGTTGTGGGATTGCATGTCAATCCGATTCTTCCCTTGACGCTAGAGTATTACTACGATCTCTACAAAGTCGTCTTGATCTTCTGTTAATGTCGCAAGCGTTTTTATCTCTCTACTACATTGCTGAACAACAATTGAAACTTCGCTGATAGCACTCAAAGGTGGTGGAAGACTGTTGATTCGGCGATTGTTGCAAATGCCTTTATGACTATCTTTCACTGTATATAAACGAGAAGCGTGCACGTAAATACATCCGTTCTACTAGAGCCTGGAACCGGCGGGGAGGCGGACTTTGGCCGTCAATCAGGACCTGCACGACCTGAGTTACCGTGGAATAGTCCCGCGGCACCACCCCTGTCGAACCAAGAGCTGCCACATTCCTGGCCAGGCAGTTTTCCTGGAGAAACCGGTATCGAAATTACTCCTCCCGCTGCTAGACCATGCACTGGGTATGGATTTTCATTTAAAGAATCACAAGCGAAGTTTGAATTTCATCAAATCATGTAGAACTCAAGGTATTCAAGTATTACCTATAAATATATTAGTTGTTTATGATAGGCAAGGCCAATACAGCATATTACGTAGTTGTCCGTTTTTGAATCAACTCGATACAAATTTAAAGTACGGCAGACGCGTGCAGATCTATCTGCTGTAGAATCATTAAATAAAGTCAATTTACTAAGTAATATGTGCAAAATGAAATTCGTCATTTCCACAAGAAGTTCATTATTTAAATAATATTATTATGTATATGATGAAAATTCGTGTGCACAGAGACTGCGATCTTTATTGCTCGGGGCCTGGGTTCTTCCGACACCCTAAAGATTGTTCAAATTTCATCAGATGTGTCGAAAACGAGGAGCGCCTAGGAACATATCGGGTTCGTACTTTATATATATATATATGCTACAAAATCTCCAGCGTCGTATGTATCGAATAGAAATAGGGTGATATTATAACATTTATACAAGATACTCTGTTTGTATATTTATGCGTTTGTAGAAATATAAGTTTGCTTTAAAAAGCTAAAGCTACAATTGGCCAGATGTATGAGAGAGGTATCTGTACGTCTACGAAACAAACACACAAATATGATTTATCACCTAATAAGGGGGACATATCAATACTAGATTCTCTTAAGGAAAAATCCGGGACCTTGTGTACCATGAAAAAAATTACTGAATACCTATTTTTTGTACCCTCGTGTCTGTAGATATTAAATACTTTTTACTAACTGATCAGTATAAACATAAAAAAAGATGATCGGCCGGTACAGGTAGGCGTGTTGCGGACGTCCTTTGCATTATCTTTTATTGCATCCCATGCAGATCTATGAATTCGAGTGTCCTGCAAGTCTCGTATTTGATGAGCTAGCTTCGACCTGTAATTGGCCAGACCAAACTGCACCATGTACAACTGGTAAGTACCCCATTTTTGCTACAACAGAATGTTATATATGTGCGTTTCTTTGCACAAATTACACGATTCATATTTATACTTAGGGGAAAGCATATTTGAGCCTATCCCCCTCTAAGGTTCCAGCTTCAAATCGCTTCTTCATATGTGCTGCGATATTTGAATCTGGCCAATATTTTAATCATAGAAGTTTTATGTGAAGCAGTATGTGGTGCTTACTGCTGCTGTTGATAATGCTAGAGATAATAAGCCGACCCGAGTAAAAACAATCCAGTCTACATAGCATATATAAGTATGTATGTTTCCGTCAAACTTGTGCGTCAAACTTTGTCGAAGATATTCATTACGGCTAGGTACACAGTATCATTTTTATTATATCAAGTGGCAGTAAACTATACTTAATATTAAAATGGCTTATTATATTAGAACATATCTCAAAACCTTAATACGGGACGTACGAATAGTACAATAACCATTCTTAGGGCAAGTTAGAAGTAGAGATTTATCTGAAAATGTCACCCGGAGAAGATATCTAGTGAATATTTTTAGGGCAAATCAAAAAGAAACTTACAGTTCAGGGCGAACTGTTAATTTAATTCTTGATGCAGCCGTTAATAAAAGAGACTCTTTATGCTCATGTTCGAGAATTGCAGGTGGCCCAAAACCTCTGCCTGAGGGAAGTGCTGCCCCAGGAGGTGGTCTTCTAGGAGGCCCAGGAGGAACCAGAAGAGGAAAACAACCTGGCGGTGGTGGCTACTTTTCCGGAGATGGACGATTCTCAGCACAATTTCCACCCGACCAAGAAGACTATTCAGGACAGATCGGCCAGCCAGATCAAGATCGCCAAGGAGGATATTCTGGACAGGGCGGCCAGCCTAGTCAAGGTCGTCAAGGAGGACATCCAAGTCTGAGTGATCAGGGTCAGCAAACAGCAGGACAGTTTGATCAAAGTGGCCTTTCGCCACCCGGAGGCCAGTTTTCAGCTGGCGGGCTACGCCCAGGTACTCTTGGCTGGCTTTTGTTGGTTCATTTGATATAGAGGCTTAAAAATAGGCTACAACGTTTACATACATACAGACTGCATCTGGCCTGCAAAATATGCTATGTTTGTCTATTATAATAATATATTATTTTGTTGTCCACAGTAGTATATGAAGTGGCATAGATTAAGCCATTCATTAAAGCCATTAAACATAAGTAAACTAAACTTATTTTCAGGAGGTGCTTCATCTCCGTCATCTGGTGGAGGATGCAACCCCTGCAAATATACCGGATTCTTTCGTCATCCGAGCAGTTGCAATAAATTCATCCGTTGTGTGGACTTTTTCGATAACGGCCAGTACACCGTTTTCAATTTTGATTGTCCCGCAGGACTCGTATTTGACGAACGATACAACGTGTGCAACTGGCCTCATGAAGCACCGCCTTGTGAAAATGTCCCTTCAGGGAATGAGTGTTCCACTGGTCAGTCTCAGTCACAGCAGCCGCCTGTTGGAGAACTCGGAGGTCCTCAGGGACCTCCGCCAGGAGCTCAGCAAGGACAAGCGCAACCTAACAAGGGATCTTGGCAACCCCAAGGCCCAGCGGGACCTAGCAGCCCTCAACAGGGAGGATGGCAGCCTTCACTTCCTTCTGGCCCTGGTGAATTTCAAAGTTTCAGCGGCCTAAGTCAGCCTGGGTCACCTGATTCTGGACCTCAACAAGGACCTCCTCAGCAAGGAACTTGGCAGCCCCCACTACCTTCTGGACCTCAACAAAGAGGTGGACCGCCTCCGTCGTCCTTAGGACAGAGTACACCTCAGCAATTACCATGGCAACGTCAAGCACCATCTGGATCAAGCGGACCTCAAGGCCCGACTGGGCCCCAGCAGGGAGGATGGCAGCCGCAGGATTCATCCGGACCCAGTGGGCCTCAAAGTCCTGGTGGGCCCCAGCAGGGAGGATGGCAGCCGCAGGATTCATCCGGACCCAGTGGGCCTCAAAGTCCTGGTGGGCCCCAGCAGGGTGGATGGCAGCCTCAGAGTCCATATGGACCAAGCGGAGCTCAAAGACCTGGCGGGCCCCAGGAGGAAGGATGGCAGCCTCAGGGTCCATCTGGACCAAGTGGACTTCAAGGACCGACGGAGCCCCAGCAGGAAGGATGGCAGCCGCAAGGTCCATATGAACCTAGTGGACCTCAAAGTCCTGGTGGGCCCCAGCAGAAAGGATGGCAGCCTCAGGGTCCATATGGACCAAGTGGACCTCAAGGACCGGCTGGGCCTCAGCAGGGAAAATGGCAGCCTCAGGGTCCATCTGGACCAAGGGACCTCAAGGGCCGACTGGGCCCCAGCAAGGAGGATGGCAGCCGCAGGGTCCATCTGGACCAAGTGGACCTCAAAGACTGGCTGGGCCCCAGCAGGGAGGATGGCAGCCTCAGGGTCCATCCGGACCAAGTGGACCTCAAGGACCGACTGAGCCTCAGCAAGGAGGATGGCAGCCTCAGGGTCCGTCTGGACCAAGTGGACCTCAAAGACCGGCTGCGCCCCAGCAGGGAGGATGGCAGCCTCAGGGTCCATCCGGACCAAGTGGACCTCAAGGACCGACTGGGCCCCAGCAGGGAGGATGGCAGCCTCAACCCCCGTCTGCTCCGAAAGAAGCCCAGAATCCTCCAAGTGGAGGATGGCAGGTTGGACAGCCACAGCCTCAATTTGCGTCTCAACCCCAGACAGCTTTAGGTCCGCCGGCCACTAGCGTTGGTGGATGCTCAGCCCAATGTACATCAGCAGGATTTTTCAGAAATCCCACGAATTGTCACAAATTTTACCGTTGTGTGGATTTCTATCAAAACGGGCAATACACCATATTTCACTTCGATTGTCCGGCTGGCCTTGTTTTCGATGAGCGAATATCGGTATGTAACTGGCCTCAGAACTCACCTCCTTGCAATAACATTGGTGGTGGAGGCGGTGATGTAGGCTGTATTGGAGCCTCTCAAACACCCAGCGGAGCGCCTCCAGTGCAAGACTTCGATCAACCCAGCCAGGCGCCTCCATACGATCAAGGTCAGGGTCCCCCATCAGGACCTGCAGGTCCCGAAAGATCATCCAGACCACCTGGTCTCGAGCATGCTCCTCCATCACAGGCAAGCTGTCCATCAACTGGCTTTTTCCGTAACCCGCAGAATTGCAACAAATTCTTCCGCTGCGTAGATTTCTGGGGCAATGGTGACTATACCATTTTTCATTTCGACTGCCCTGGGGGTCTTGTCTTCGACGAACGAATCTCTGTATGCAATTGGCCTGATCAAGCGCCACCATGTGACTCAAGCAGTACTTTCCCAAGGCAAGTCATGATTTTGCCACCTGCAGCTCCAGAAACCTCGACGAAGAGTCCCGAAACGACACCACCTTCTGTAACCGAAATGACGACAGAATCCCCAATCGAAATGAGTACTGATCTTACAACGGAAACGATGCAGTCGACTACTACCGGTCGTACCGGCAAGAAACTTGAAGATGAGAAGAAAAAGAAGCCTAAGCGTATAAAGTGTCCAGACAAAAACAACCACGAAGTTCCAGGCGACTGCACAAGGTTCTTCCGTTGCGCTAAGGTTGGCATTGGAAAACGAGCTCAGCTGTTCCAGTGTATGGAAGGATACATATTTGACAAAGAAATACAATTCTGTAAAAAGATGCCGCCAGGATTTCAATGCATGACTAGTGAAATGATGGAAGAAATGGGACGTGCTGAGATGGCGCCATCTGAAATGCACTTTAATTAAAAACACCTGGCCACGTATTTTTAGGCTTCTTCAGCAGCTGGACTACCACGGTATCTAATTACAAATCTTCATTTGAAAATCGTTTCTGATGCTACCCAGGTGCTCTCTAGAGCCCGAAAGCATTCTGCCAATAGACTGATAGGTCGTCCCATACCATGCTTTGATATTTATTTGTTTTCGACCTCTGTTAGAGCTGCCAAATACATACACGAGAGAGAAAGTTCCTATATGCACTCCCTGCGTTTTCAGTGGGGGATTATCTTCTGGTAGACAGTAATGCGACTTTGGTACAAATTTTAGTCAACCTACCAAACTGAACATATGGATTCAGTAAAAATGTTATTGATCTGCCACCTAGCCTAAGTCGCGTTCAAATAAGTGTGCATAAGGTCGTCATTTAACAAATCAAGGCGTATTAGATAACGCTTTGCACGTTAGGTCGATGCACCGAGCGGTATCGAGTTTGTGGCAAATCTACAAAACCATGCATCTTCGCGACACATAAATACATACAATAACGTATACAACAATTGAGATATGAAATACTGGTGTGTAGCGTAGCGGTTCTTTTCCGCTTATTTTATTTAGACTTGCTCAAGGGAATGACAAGGAACGCGACCATATGCTCCATGACTAGACTGATCGTGATACTGTGTTCCATAATCTTCTGATATTTATTACCAGTTGTAGGATTATATCAAACATATTTCGCCAACAGGCGTCAATCAAACGCGTAGCTGTTTACATTAGCCATGATCGTGTCGATTAATGGGGTTATCTCGAATCCCCTTCAAAACGGTCTGCTATATACGCGATCGGAGCGGAGATAGTTAAGCGATACTACAATTGGATGTACGAGGTGTGAACGAGCGGAGAATTCGAATGACTTGAATCAGGTGATTGGCTATAAGTATACGACTATTGCAAGGTATAGTTAGGTGTCGATCAGAAACAGCCGCCATGTAGTTAACTTGAAATATAAGTACATATGCAACTTGTACATATTTACATAAGTTAAATAAAAACCGATTACACGAGACAATCAATGATGATGACAATAATAATAATTATAATAAAAGTAATAATAATCGGAATCTGTCCTGATTACTAGTAGTCTGCCAATGTATTTTTGATAATATTTGGTTAAATGTAGATACATCAGCATCTGGAGTGTACCTAAATAGAAAAAAAGAACGATACATTTCAATAGTTTCGCTATAGCTATATCCTATCCATATATACATATAGATGAAGAACTCCACCGAATCCCCCAGCGGTGAAAATGTTTACTGCAATTTATTTGCTGTCGAAGATATTGCTCATCAATAACTTGCGTAATATGAATATATTGATGTCATACTATAAATGGTAACGAGCGTAGCTTTGAGATACTTTCCACATGTTTGCAGCAATCCCTATTCATCTATATCATGCGCTGTATGGTATGTAGTATAGTACGCGCTGGCGTGCACGTGCTTTCTTCATAAGCGAAAAATCGAAAATAAAATATCACGAACTGTTCCTCACTTCAAAATGTTATACTGCGCGCGGCCAAGAGATCACGCGTAAATGATCTTTTTCATCACACTACCACATAACAACATTCCACTTTAACCCTTTTTAATTAACCCTTTAAGCCCGAATTAGAACAAGGGCATCACTTGGATATTTCTTGTTCCAAGTTATAGGAAAGGCTCTGTAGGTTTCTAGAGCAGCTTTGTCGAAAAGCGATTCCGGCCACGTCTAGCTGAACGATAGATGATGTGCACGCATGGCACAGTTGAAAACGAGCCGTGCAATAGCACGATGCACGTAGACGATGTGAGACTATTGTTTGATTAGCTTACCATTGCAGGTGTAGGCAGAGGAGCTGCGCAATGACGCTTCTAATCTCTCGGTTTATTGAAATGTTTCTTCTGTAGAGCCCTGTTTACTATCAAGAACTTTGTGAATATGCAATCATTGCCGACAAGCGATTGTTACGGATTCGGAATTAATTTTCAACGCCTTACGCTTTCTCCGGAAATCGTTGTTACGCTCAACGAAGGTTTCAAGCACTTCGATTACCAATGGAGAACGAGCAAACATTTATACAGAGCGGGTTCCTCGAACGTGAAACCGACGTAGCGCTGTTCCAGGTATAGAGAAATACATGTATAGCCAAAGGCTCAGATGGTGACAAAATTTTGCAAGTATCGAAGATAGCTAAAGGCGAACACTAAAGATGCAGGGAAAAGATATCCTACCGGACCTTTTTAATTAGGCTTTATTTCCATGGGTTTACACCCGCTGCGCTTCTAAAAAAAAAAACACGCGTTGCCCTCTAAAAATGTCCTCAATATTATCGAGTGGTTTCCTAGAACATGGTTCTTATTTTATCATTACATTATTATCTAATTTTATCATTACAGTCGGTGCGTTGCGTTCTTTTCTTTTGTTTCCCGATAAAACCTGCTTTGTTTGTTTCGTACTTCTAATTTATTGTGTTAGCCTGTAGGCTTACTTCAGCTGCGATGACCAAAACCGTTTGGAAAACGCCTGTTTCCCTATTTACAAAGGAAAGCGATCCTAAATATTACCCCATTAATATTTGAAGTTTGCTAATAACAAATACTCTGTTAGACTGTAGCCTACATAGCAAAATGGTAGCATGAACTCTTTGGTGAACGCAAGTCTTCGAAACCTGCTATTCAGCCGAGTGTGGCTTCAACACAACTCTATGCAACGTAATTTTTCATGTAGCTGTGAGAAGCTAAGCCGATTTATCTTGAGCCAATAGGACATGTACTGTGAAGGAGATGACGGCTCAGTATAAGGGCTATTGTTGCAAAGATGCTCTTACGAAATTAAGGTCGTCGAGAAAACCCTTAAAAAGAAACTCTGTCGAATAGAGCAGTTTAATTAGCCGTTATAATAATAATTAGGCTTCTTATGTCTTATGTTCGCTTGCCTGGTTTTTTTTAGACGAGCTGGCCCATACATCCTGACAGAGCCTTAGTAACGAATTACCTTTTTTCTGATTGCAGCAGATTAAAAAAGGACGGGGTCGTCCTAGGAAAGCAGAAAATAATTTTTATCAAGTAAGAGCTCAGTTGTAGAACAGTATTTAGATCTATCAGATGTGGACAATATTTGTTCTACTGTTACTTGCATTCGTGTACTTCTGATTTTACATACATTCGTTCTCAAGACTTAGCCGAATACGTTTAACCAAGCGCTAACAGCATGAACTAGGCTTAATTAGCAAAGATTTACCCTTTGTCATATTTTAATATGTCATATTCCTCTGGGTAAGATGTTAATAAACTTTTATCATAAAATCTGACGCAGGGTTTTCCCTCGTAGCGACAAAGTGTGATCAGGAAAATTTTGGAGGGCAGTAGTACGTCTATAGAAACAACGCGAACACGCAGGGGCGTTCGCAAAGAGCACCCTTATATACATATATATATATATATATATATATATATATTTGTTATTGACTTTTGTTACGTTCTAGAAGTCTGTAGGGATGATACAGATCGCAAAAGACGAAAGTCCGCTTGTGTACAGCAATCGCGTAATCGAATGGCGTAAATTAGACTGTGAACGATGTAAGGCGCAATTCACTCGTCTCGATGACTTCCAGTGCTACCTGCGCCATCTTCGGGATGAACACGAAGATCTCTAGACGTCGGCCGACGCAGTATCATTAAGATCATTTTGGCAAACGCTAAGGAAACAAGGGTCAATACCGCGGCTCATATGTCTGTTTCTAGATAAAACTCAGTTGATCTCCTTAGTTTCAATTTGAAAGAATAGGATTCAAATCCAATTTGTCGTATTTGAAAAGAAAACTATTAAAAAAATCCGACATTTAAGTTGAATAAACCTTCTATTAATTGTTTTGAACAGAGTGCTCAGGGGCATCTGTGTTAAAAAAAAAGCAGAGCATTTATTACTGCAATAGTTGCTAGTACAATTCATGCATTTGTTATCAATTCCCTGTCACTATTTCAGAAATGTCAGGTAAATGCCTATTGTTATTATCATTGTTTTAGCACCCCTTAGCGTGCCCAGCTGAACTTATCCAAAAGTATAGTTTTTTTTCCAAAGGCTCATGGAAGGCCATTTGGGATTGATCCTGTAATTATGATCAATCAGAGAGTGAATTAGAATCATAAAATAGCTTTATAGCCCTATCGAATTTCGCAAATCAGTTTTACAATTAGTACGCACCTTTATTTAAGGTCAACGCAAAATTATGGATCTGAATCGCGCTCGAATTGCCCCTATTCATACCCAAGCCAGTGGGTTTCGACCGGCCCACAGGAAACGGATTCAGCAGAATGAACTCCCGAAAAATATTAGTTGTCCGCTTAGGCGACGCCTCACTAAGCACGACTCTCCCTGCCCTAAAATTGGTCCTTTACGTAATCACCCCTGGTTTGTAAGATAACATTTTTCTTATGGATGAATTATACGTTTTATAGTATTGGCTTTATATTATAATCTTTTTGCGTGTTCAGACGCTATCCTTTCTAGCTTACACGATAACTGTTCGTTACTGCAGTCCCACAGCTTAAATTGAAACGGTAACAGCGTTTAACTGGCAAAATGACATCCATTGGCCCGATGAAGCCGTGTCAGATCGGCTTATTCACTGCTTACCATAGCGATACGTATACGTTCCAAATGCATCAATGCTTAATACGGGGTTCTAGATCGGGTCCTGCCGCCACTTCAGAAAGCTGACTTCCGACACATAATGAGACGTGTATGTCTGATATTGGACCTGGATTATCTTAAATGTCCCTTGGCTTTTTAGAAAAGCACTACATGATTACGGGGACAATGCCGTAAACGCTAATCGTCGCTCGATTAATCCTCTGAAATATCGTAGCTGTCCGATTCTCGGAATCTTCGCTCCGCACCAACGCAATTCATTCAATCCAAAATGGCTGCCCACAGTGTTTTGTTTCGCGGTCAGGCAGAGCTGCGCGTGAATCAGTACAGGGCGTATACAGACTCTCTTTAAAGAGAGCTAGTGGCTGTGCTGGAATTGAAAGGTTGCCATTAATCGAACACGTTAGTGCCGTGCTTATTAATTGAACACAAGCAGATGTGTAACGAAGCAAGTAGTAGTGCTTATAACATATACACACACATAGATTAGATTCAGTCACTCACGTTCTGCCCACCACCTGCAAACCAGTAGCTGGATGCCGTTTGTTATCGCAGGTATGCGACAAGCGTCACAATACATTTGGCGATCAATCGTTTATCTTCTAACTAACACATGCCCCATCCATTGCATGAAGACAATTGGAAAGTACTGTTTTAATCAGTCGCTTGTCTACGGTGATCAGTGGCATTTTCAGGGTGGCGCCGCGCACCTCCGATCAGATATCAAATAAAAGCTGATACTGACAAGGGTAAAAACGAGCTTTGCCACTAATTTTACGTAAGCACATGCGTCAAGATGGCAACAAATAGATCGTATGCTTCGTTACGATCAAATTGCTCTCAGTGTGTCCCTAAATAGGTATTGTTATGCCACTGCCTATTGCGCTAACTAAGTTCGACGGTTGATTTCATGTATGCCGGCGTACTGTCCTGCTATCAATTCTAAAAAGAACAAAGCCAGTAAATCTACGTTTTGCAGGAAGCTCGTAACTTGGTGTCAGTAAGTTAACATTTGTCAACCAGACTTATATTTAACTGCTCTTCGTTGCGTTTACATGCGGCGACCCTTTTCGAACGGACGGGCGACAAATTGCCTGTCAGGTCAGTATGGAATTACGTCATCGAAAACGAGCTCGCTTACAAAATGATTGTAAATTAGCCGAAGGTGAGTGCTATTAACCATCGTTCTATAGCTATATCAAAAACACTAGCGATTAGTCCGCGAAACGCGTTCGTTGCGGATCCTGTTGTTTCATTGTTACGCATCGTTGACTAGACCCTTTTGACAGTCTGTCACAGAGACGTGGCTGTCAAGTGTAAAACACTTACATGCAAAAATGCGTATCTAGCAAATGAATCTTGCACACTTCGAATTACCCTATAGACATCCGTGCCACAATCCAATAATAGAAAGTTGTGTGATATTTTTTGGTGTTTTAGATGAAAAGTGGATCGGAAATGTCCTCACGTCGAACCCTGTGATTGTCAAACATCTTATGCGTTTCCTAACGGCAAAACAACTGTCCCGAGCAGTGGTTGTCTGCAGCCTATGGAGAGAATGCGCGCTTAAAGAGAAATTGAGGCGGTTCGAAATACAACAGTTTGGTTTTGTAAGCAAGCACACAATTTCGATCGCATAAGAACCATTGATTGTTTACGCCTAAGACAGTCTGCTACTTATGATAGGTGAAAATTCTTACTAGACACTGTAAAATTTAAAGGTGCAACCAAGCGTTCAAATCTCATGGTCTTAAGGCTTTCGAATGTTCGTAGAGTTACCTCTTTGATGAAAAATAAGTTTCCCTCCATAGATAGATAGATAGATATGGCCTGTTGTCAGCTACGATTCTATTTGCCATTCTGATATTGTAGACGGTACACCATGACAATGGGGAGGAGCTTCCACCATTTGGCACCTCAAGACCGTCGGATGTCGGAAACCACTTTTATCAGGTACTTTTGTTTAGTAGTCAAGGCACCTTTTCTTATTTTCAGCAGGCAGAGTTTTCGCTTTTGGTGATTTGCACCCAAATACGTTTTAGATATACAATGGTCTAAAGTTGAACGATATTATCAAGAATAACTTAATTAAAAGTATCATTTTTGCCGGTAGTTTGCTTCGATTATTCGTGGTCATTGAAAAAACGCGTATAACAACACCGACATGTGACTTTTCCATTTTCTGAAGAGCTTTTTATTAAGTAACCCTTGTTTAGGTTTACATTAGGCTATTTGTTTTTTTGGGTTTTTTTTTTGACTCGTTTCCATCATAACTAACAGGTAACGGAAAACCTGCGGGCAGAACCGCGTGTCGTGTTCATATTTACAACGCAAAAGGTTGTTAGTAAAGCTGTTAAATATTTCGAGGACTTTTCATCAACACCAGCTTACTTCAGGGCTACAGCCGAATCCCTCAAACGCACAAAACGTCATGTCTACAGTGTTGGCTGTAAGTCTTGCCCCAAAATAACAGGAAGTTAACGAGCTTTAAGCATGCATGTCCCGAACTCTCTTCTAT